TTAAATAAATATTTGAATAAACTAAATAAATTTTATTTATTAGAATAAAAATAAATAAATATTTCTTTATTAAGTATGACAAATTCCATGCAAATAGATATACATCTAAGAATACAGTAACCTATGTATTTTTTTAGCATAACACGGAAAATATTTTTATTAAACATATAATAGTAAGTAAATAATATATACAATAAATAGTAAGATCAATAATTAACTCTTTAAAAATATTTATGTACAGTTTGATAAATATTACAACAATGAAACAAAAATAATATGCAACCAGTATACTAGCTGTACCCGCGATTTCGTTCGCGTGGAATTTAACTTTATTTTTCTGAAATAAAAGTAGCCTAAGTTACTCCTTTTTACATCAGCTACCTGCCAATAAAAGTCCCGTCAAAATCGGTCCAGCCATTTCAGAGATATGCCGGAATAAATAGACAGACAGACAGACAAAAATTAAAAAAAATGTATTTTGGTGTACGTACCGTATTTATATACATATGCATGTAGTAAAAAACAGTTATTTCAATATTACAAACAGACACTCCAATATAATTAATATGTATAGATATGAAAGTTAAAAAAAACAGTCCGATGGAAAATAAACGTGTGTCCGAAGCATTATATCTAATATGAGCTGTATCAAATTAAATGGAACAGTGGTCCCACTAATGCCGCCTGTGATTAAGTTGCCCTTACAGGTAAATGGAGATCGACTTATACCTCCTGTCTCCATGCAGAATGTCCTTTATTCTGTTTTGAACGCCATCCAACTATGTAAATCGAAGAGGCTTTAAGAAATATTACATTTCTATTTTTATTAGAATCCATCCAATGAATTCTTTTTTTATTATTTACTAGTTACCCACCCCGGCTTCGCACATGTTCTTTCTTATTCTTATCTTTCGCAAAGATATTTGAAAAATACATGTTTAGATCTATTAAAAAAAAACCGATTCAAAATCCGTTGTGTAGTTTTAAATATTTAAGCATACATAGGGACGGACAGACAGCGACAGCGACTTTGTTTTATACTATGTAACTAGCTACTCGCCCGGGCTTTGCACGGGTGTACATGTATTATATATATAAACCTTCCTCTTGATTGACTCTATCTATTAAGATTCAAAATCCGTTGCGTAGTTTTAAAGATTTAAGCATATGTACATAGGGACGGACAGACAGTGACAGCGACTTTATTTCATACTATGTAATTTTTAGTAAACAGCTTATACAATTTATACACAATAAATAGTTTTACACAATTTGTAAAGACAATAATAAATATCTCACGAATTTATCTTTAATGTTAAACTTATATTTAACCAATTGTCTTGTTCGTCCATGTGGAATTCATTATATATAAGTATAATCATTACACAGTATAAAACAAAGTCGCTATCGCTGTCTGTCCATCCCTATGTATGCTTAAATCTATAAAACTGCATAACGGATTTTGAAGCGGTTTTTATAGGTTTTAGCGGTTTTAGTGGTTTATATATGTATATAATACGTGTACACCCATGCGAAGCCGGGGCGAGTACCTAGTAATATTATAATTAGCTATTTAAAATTTAGAGTAACGAATTCTATCTTTATAATATAGTTTTAGTAATTGGCACATATTTTTCCTTATTGTTTAGTTACATGCATATTACCCGTATGTTGGTAGATCACAGATGTTATACTAAAGTTCAAGAGTCAGATAACCTTTGTTCATCACGAGTTCACTGAGCAAATGTTTGTACTACGTTTTAATATTTGATACTGTCTTTATGAAACACCAAGTAGCTTGGTTCTTGCTTTGTGAGCTGTTTCGGTTCTAAGGTGGAGATTAAACAGTGAAATTACAGGATAAGAGGCATGAGATCATAGTCCTATGAATTGGCAACGCATGGGTGGTATCACGGGTGTTACATGATAACGTGATATGATAGTGTGATACATATACCATAGGCGACGGTTACCGCTTACTATCAAGTGAGCCGTCAGAATGTTTGTCATTCCAACTCCTTTTTTTTCCTTCTCCTCTTCTTTTCAATGATGGAAAAGAGACATTGTGATTTCAAATTTACCGCATTTCACTAAATGCATACATATGCATTTAGTGAAATGCGTATCTACCGTATATACTTACATAAGTATATACGGTAGATACATAAAAAAACAATTTAAAAATATTTTGTCTGTTGTCCATCTGTTTGTTCTTAATATTCTCGGAAACGGCTGGACCGATTTTGACGGGGCTATTACTCGCAGATAACGAATGTTATAAGGAGTTACTTAGGCTACTTATTTTAGATTTTCTCTGTATTTAATTAAAAAAGAAGTTAAATCCCGCTCGGACAAAGACGCAGGAAACAGCTAATTTTTTTATATAAGAAAACATATATTGGTTTTGAAAAATTACATAAATACCCTTTTTATCTCCTAAGTTTTGTGTAGTAGTAGTCTACTATAAAGGAAATATTAAAATATAATTATTATTAAGTTTACTTGAACTCTTGGCTTGAATCTTATTAATTTTATACAGGTATTTTATATAATTATTTTGTTATTATTGAATAAATATTCTTTTGTTCAATATACCTTTATAATAAAGACTTTATTAACAAAATGTTTTATGCTTAATTTACTGTAATCTAACAAAATTTATTGTACAAATTTATAGCACAAATTAATTAATAAATTACTAAATTATATGTTTTTTATATATTACTATTATTAATATTTCTTCATCATCGTGCGCCATTCACCAACTTCTGTCTTTTCTCCTATACCCAAAGGTTGTCTGGAAGAGATCGCATAAGCGATAAGACTGCCTTTTGCGATAAGATAAGACTTTTGTAGCTATATATTCTAGATATTGTTTTCTTTTGTATATATATATACATAAATATACTATATTTGTTGTTATGGTGAAATACAGATAATAAACAAAAATAAATAAATTTTGATATAAGTGAAGTGACACAGTGATTTTGTACCCATACCACAAGCTCTACGTAGTTGACACTAAGTATTAGGCTAGGCGCTATGTGAGTTGTCTAGTGATAATATAAAACAACATTACTTCAATAAAAAAAATGAATATGAATACATACACTGCAGACGCTCACCTAAAACGCCTTAGGTACTTTTTCAAGAAGGATATATTAAGGTTTCTTAAGGGTAGGAACGTGTATGTGACTCCCCTGGTGTTTCAGGCGTCCATGGGTTAGGGTAACCGTTTACCATCAGATGGGCTGTATGCCTGTTTGCCAAAATCACAGTATAAAAAAGACATATTGAGTAAAGACGTCATGGATGTAATTAAATATATTAAAAACACTTAATTATCTCAGAAATAACTTAAAAATATAGTTACAAATATCCAGTTTATTTATTTATCATTAATAATATCATTAAATTAATTGTATATTTCAACATTACATATCACTGTATTAATATTACTAAAAATATTTATTTTAATTAAAGATTAAATTGACTTTATTGGTTACAATAAACTTATTTCCTTTGCCTCATATTTTGGAAATCTAATTAAAAAGATAGGCGATAACAGGATTCTGAGAAGTCAAATGAAATGAATCGTATTTTTCGTATAATTATAGTTTTGTACAATTCCCGTCGCGTCGGTGTCACTGCGAGTTATCTGAGTGACATTAACTGAATACATACGACCGTAACGTTTGGCAAACAAACGAGAAATATTATTAAAATTTTCATACGGTAAAGAAAATAATAATAATAATATATCTAACGTACTTATGCCAAATACTAACAATCTACCTTATACTTATAGTTTATTTGACTGATAAGCTTCATATACATATAATCTATCGACTGAATATTCCTGTTGAGATACGCACTAGAACTCTGAGAAATGCAACTGGTCACTAATAAAGAGAACATTCTTTTTTAAAAAAAGAAAAAAGAAATATAAATCTGCCTGTTTTTATTATTGTTATTAAAATATCATAAGAGCATACAGTTTTATGCTCTGTTTTTATTAAATAATTATTTATACCTACACGCCTTATAGAAAATTACTCTTAGACGAAGTCCAAGTTTGTGAAAGAACGTCCTGTAGGTCTAGTTAAGTAACTGCATTATTTACGTGCCGCTTTATCACTCTTTAAATAATTATTTTATAATATAATACAAAAAATAAAAGCTAGAAATCCAGCCAACGTGGACACTGACACTAGTAGGAATTCAGTAATAGTTGTCCTCGGAGAATATAATACCACAGATAATATAATATTACATAATACAAACATGGTAAGGGCAGGTTTCAGTTGAAGGGTGAGAAATGTCAGACAAAGGACATCTTAACAACACATAAGGGTATCTCGGGGTTAAAATGTAGACGGGATCTCCATGATGCTCTTCATTTTATAGGTAGGTAGTAATATGCTATGCGCAAGAAGGCGCCGAATGGTCCTGATCCAAAAATGTTAATATAGTGTTATTTTCGGTTTGAGTTTTATTTATTTATTTATTAAAACTTCAATGCACATGTTACTGGAGCGGGAACACAACTACTATTTTAAGAAAAACCAAATACTAGTAAAAATGTGTATTCTTCCCAAAAGGGCTCACAGCAAGAAGTAACAAAACAATATATGGTTAGTCAAAAGTGACGTATAAAAAATAGATATAAAAAACATAAAGTTTATAAAAAGAATGGTAGACAAGCTGCCAGTAACAGCACAAATACATAAATAAAGGTGCACATGGCGGACTTAACACCTTGAGGTATTTTCTTCCAGTCAACCATTGGGCGAACAGAAATTCATGTGGGCGGTGCATTATCAAAATTTGAAATTAAAAGTAGAATTTGATATTTGAAATTTTATGTACCTTGCCACCTACTATGCGCCGTCAATTTGTTAGTAAATCTAATAGGAGCGTAGGTACATCATCAAATTAATTGCACATCGTTCCCCGCCCTGTAGAGCTGTGTGTATCAGTTGTTATTTGTGCCGAAGCGTTCTCACAATAATTGGACCAAACGAGAGTTATAAAGTATCTGAGTAGGTTGCTAAGTGAAATTCTCAGCAGGAATAATGCGTTGGAGCCCAGCTATCGGTGAGTGTGGTTAATGTATGTACGTGTTTATCTTCGTACTGCAATTTACAGAGTACAGAAGATTTGTTGATCTTGAATTTGTGTTTCCACAGTCAATGTTGTTTTGGCCTATATTCTGTTTGTATATGCTTCGCAAATTGTAAGTACATAGATTCCTTATTATACTATTGTGTGGCACAGTATTAAGTATATTTTGTTACATGAGGAATTGACTTGTAGTATACAAAAAGAATCATCGAAAACTGTGTTCAATACATCGCTCTATGTATATTATTAAATACTAGTTATACTAGCGTGTTCGTCCGCGTGGAATTTAATTTAATTTTTCTAAAATAAAAGCAGCCTAAGTTACTCATTATTACATCAGGTACCTACTAAATAAAGTCCCGTCAAAATCGGTCCAGCCAGAGATTAGCCGGAACAAACAGACAGATAGACAAACAGACAAAAATGGTAAAAAATGTTATTTTGTTGTATGTATCGTATTTATATTCATAGGCATGTAGTAAAAAACGGTTATTTCAATATTACAAACAGACACTCCAATTCTATTTATATGTAGGTATAGATGATCGAATTGAATTGAGATATAAAGAGACTTTTAAATCTATGTTTTAATTGACAATACGAAGTGTACGCACAAATGTGTTAAAGTGTTTATTGTGAGTTATTTCTTACGCGCAATTGTGTTAAGGAGTATGATTGTGTGTATTGATCTGCATGTTTGTGTTTTCATCATGCTGATTCCTATTTTTAGAATTGTTAATTGAGATAAAAGACAACCTGCCCATCTTTATTATCTTGTTGTAAAATTACACTAAGATATGTTCATCTGTTTACTCGTAATAACAAATAGATTGACAGATGATATTATTATTGACAGCCTCGGTGGTCTGGCACAACGCTTTATTTCCGATGGTCGCGGGTTTAATTCCTTGCACTGCGCATACATTTGTATTCATGAGTATGATTGTTTATATCGGTCTGGATGTTTTCTATGTATATTATGTATCTATTTACAAAAAGAAATATTGATTAGTATTTATATCAGTTATCTAGTACACATAACACAAGCTCTGCTTACCGTGGGACTAGATGGTGCTGAGTTAATTGTCCAGGGTCTAGGATTATTTATTTATTTATTATTAATGGTTTTTCAGCAATCGTTTTTACACTAGCGGTGATGGTACGAAGCGAAATAGGCTCGTGTCCCCCAACACTGCCGGTGGACATCTGCGAGGGACAGTGCAGCCTCAGCCGACCCTGCGACGGGAGCCAGCTCTGCTGCCCAACAGCATGCGGTGGTTCTATGTGCGTCGACGCGATGACTAGGCGACATTTTGTCAATTTCGGTTAGTTTAAATAAATAAAATAAAGAGTGACACCAAAGTTCCTGGTAACGACGAGCTCAACCCGGTTTCTAATGTTCAGGGTACTTTACGTAGTCCAGTTGACCCTCTGATTGATCCCCCGTCCAATTCAAACGGGGATCAAAATTACGACAGCGTGAACCGAGTTTCGAACCCCTAGCGATGCCCTCAGACTAATGTCGTATCCTTCAGCCGCTCCATAAGTCCTTCCGCGGGTTTGGAGTGCCATCTGCATTGGCCCCCTAACGACCGGTGAAGCTGTAAAGGCCAGCTGCGGCGAACAGCATTAGAGTAGTCCGAAAAGTTTTATCTAGTTAGTCTGTAATCATCCGCTGCAATATAAACATATGTACCAAAAAGTACATACATCTTATACGTGTACTTATGTAGTTCTCTGGAATACCAACGCCTTCACCATCTGCAACAGTTCACATATAATTTAGCCCAAAATTTGCATAGTGATCTATAGTGAAATTATTCGTTTTAGGATATACTTCATAATTAGTAGGATCGATTGTCCAAGTATCAGTTCTAGGAGCCGTTTCCTTCCCGAGATATAGCGTTCCAAATGCTCCCAAAGTTTTGCTTGTGTTATGATTATGATTGTTTGTATTGGTCTGGTTGTTTTCTATGTATATTATGTATGTATTTACAAAAAAAAAAATATCTTAGTATATCTGTCTGTTGTTTAGTACCCATAACACAAGCTCTGCATAGTGTTGAACTAGGTGCCGCTATGTGTGTACGGCCCCGGGGAACGCATGGCGACCCGGGGTATGTATGTTTGTTGGGGTGTGTTTAAACAACCCCTAGTGAGTAAGCCACGAGCCGTTCCCTAAGGCGGCCCGGTGGCCAGACCACCAACGGCTGAATCTGGTCGCTGTTGGTGTGTCTGTGAGAGAGTCCCCGACCCGTGTCGGGGCACCGGGCGGCGGGCGGTGTTGCTGTTCCACCGTCTTGCGCCCGGCGTGGAGGGGGGCGGAGGGTGCTTGCACCTGAAGTCCCAACCTAGACACTCGGGGCGGCGGATGTAGGGGCATCCTAAGCTCCAAGGAGGAGAGTGATCAGAGGAGGGTGGGCGCGGAGTGGTCCCTGCGCCCACATCCGAGCGGCTCCTTCAGTGGAGACCCGCGGCCGGCATGCGGACGAATGCTTCGGCGGACCCGCATGACGGCGCTTTCACGCGGTTGTAAAGGAGGAACACCGGGGGGTTTTGGTGGGTCGGATTCGTCCAGTCCCACAGTATTCGTCCGCTCCCCTTCATAAAGGCGGACGTTTCGGTACTGAAACCTTTCCCCTCGAAAAAAAAAAAAAAAAAAGGTGCCGCTATGTGTATTGTAGCTATATTATTATTTAGCCAGGCTTCGCACGAATGTATATATATTATACATATAAACTTTCTTTATCTGTTGAGCCAAAAACTACATTAAAATCTGTTGCGTAGTTTAAAAGATCTAAGAGAAAAGACAGCGGAAGCGACTTCATTTTATACTAGCTCTGCCCGCGGTTTCACCCGTATGTAATTTATAGCCTATATGTTATTCTGATGTATAAGCTATATTACTGTAAAGTTTCGTCAAAATCCGTTCAGTAGATTTTGCGTGAAAGAGTAACAAACATCCTTCCTGACTAATAAACTTTCGCGATTATAATATTAAATAATAACAATAAGACTGATATAACGACTGGGATAATGTGTATAATCGCGAATCATGTTTTCATACCTCTTTACATAAAGAGGTATGGAAACATGTACAAACAATTAATTTACTATTTCTTATATTTCAGTGAAGAAAGGTCGATGCCCAGAGTTCCCTCGCGGTGTGTGGGTGTGCACACACACATGCACCGGGGACTCGGACTGTCCCAGAGCGTTGAAATGCTGTCCCAACCGCTGCGGAGCGCTCACTTGTCAGAAGCCAGAAGCTGACGAGGAGGCAACATAATAAATAAAAAAAAAGACTATTTCTGTAATTTTATACTTCCGTTCAAATAGTATAACAACTACATGATCAAGTACATGACCTTACATCTAATGGTTGCGGATTCGATTCTCTGACGGTACAAATATTTGTATACACGAGTATGATTATTTGTTTTAAGTGTTTTCTAGGTATATTGTGTATACCTAGAAAATGTATATTGCGTATGTATTCACAAAAAAAAACGTATCTATGTGTTTATATCAGTTGTCTAGCACCCATAACACAAGCTCTGCTTAGCTTCATAATAAATAAAAAAATGACTATTTCTGTAATTTTATACTTCCGTTCAAATAGTATAACAACTGTATACAAAAAATCGCGATAGAATAAAGTTAAAGTCAAATACATGACTTTACATCTAATGGTTGCGGATTCGATTCTCTGACGGTACAAATATTTGTATACATGAGTATGATTGTTTGTTTTAAGTGTTTTCTAGGTACATTGTGTATACGTATACACAATGTACCTACACATACGTTATATGTTATACGTATGTATTCACAAAAAAACGTATATATGTGTTTATATCAGTTGTCTAGCACCCATAACAGAAGCTCTGCTTAGCTTCTGATTAGACGACTCTGTGTAAATTGCCCAGAGTTATTATTATTACAATCGAGATTTTAGAGCTTTTGTTATTGTGTACGAGAAATATTAAATATATATTAAACCGCAAAAACTCGGCTTAATGCAATTTTGCAAAAAAAACGCGCTGCCAGTGTATCTCTATTTATGGCAACGCGGCTCTCAAACGAATAAATTGATAGCAATCCGCTTTTGTTGGTTTAAAAACTGGTTTTCAGTAGTTTTTTGTACTGAACGATGGAAGTTCATTCAATCGGTTCGAGATTTTACAAATTATATTGCAGACATAGCAAACATGAATATATTTTTTCTTTATCTAATGCAAGTGAAATTTTGAGGACATGCCGAGAGAAATCCTAAAGTATCGTAAAGATTCATTTATACTCAATATTTGTTTATATGACGATATACAGTCTATAGCACACGACGTCACCTCCGATAGTCGCGAGTTCATTTCCATGCATAGTCCAACCAGTTGTATTGTACCCGTAACACAAGCTTATAATATTATATATACCATAAATCAATTTAGCATATAAGTAATCTATCGTATTATATACGGCCCTGTGTGCGCATAAAGCATACATGCTTTTTAGTATACAGTTACATAAGTTTAATTGTAAGTCATTGTTGTTTTTTATAATAAATAAAAATAAATAAATTATGTCCTTTTACATATTTTATTGTACAATAAAGTATTACAAACACACAAACAAGCTTTGCTTAGCTTGAGACTTAGATGGCTCTATGTGACTTGTCCTTATATATTAATACTAGCTTTTGCTCGCTGCTTCGTTCGCGTTAATTTATCCTCTTAGGGGTGGAATTTATCAAAATCCTTAGGGGATGCCTACGTCATAGTAGCTTTATGCATGAAAAGTCTCAGCCCGATCGGTTTAAAATTGACAAAGTTTCATATAAACTTTCATCCCCTATTATCCCTTTAGGGGTAGAATTAATCAAAATCCTTTCTTACGGATGCCTACGTCATACCATCGTATAATTGATGGTTGTCAGTGGCCTAGCTACCTATGGACTAGGTGGAGAAGTGCCCCGGGGCCCTTAAGCTTAGGGGACTCTCGAACCCTTACCAGAAAATCTCGATCGACTTAACTTTTCAAAATTTCTCCCATTTTCAAAATAAATATGACAGGTTGCAACCTGACTTTAATCATGGCAACTTAGTTGAGAGAAATTCGAAAGTTATACCTTCGGAATTCTCTTAAATTCTTTCTGTGGGTTGGCAGTGCTATCAATTTGCGGATAGCTATATGTGCGTTTTAATAAAACTGTAAAACCCCATTTTTTTATTTGCCCCAGGGCCCTTGGTTACCTAATTACACCACTGATGGTTGTATTGATGTAGAAATATATAAGTGGAGCGATATCTCTTTACAATCTTCTAAAAGATCTTGACCTCTCTAGAACCGCAGTAAGTTCTGTGTTACATATGTAAGTTTGGGAACTGCTCAGATCATCAATTTTCCTCTCTGCCAGACGATGGAACCGGTACCTGCACAATGTATCGATGGATCAAAGTTCGTATCTCGAAGGTTTTGTGCAATTGGTAGAAATATCCCTGTGAAACCGGGGCGGCTCGCTAGTAAATACTATAATTAATACAACTATAATAATATAATCTCAAGACAACTCACACAGTGCCATCTGGACCCAAGTTAAGCCAGCTAAAGCTTGTGTTATGGGTACTAGACAACTGATACAAATACATAGATATTTTTTTTTCGTAAATACATACATATTATACATAGAAAACACCCAGACCGACACAAGCAATCATACTCATGAATAAAAATGTTTGTGCCGTGCGAGGAATCGAACCCGCGACCATCGGACGTAAAGCGGTGAAAACTAGACTCTATTAAACTGTAAATAAGGTCCATTACTGTCTATTTTACATCTGAATACATTAATATTAAATGTCTTTAATTTGTGGAATACTTTACAAATTGTTACATAACATTTCAAATATATCATTTTCAATTACAAATCTTTTGAATCTTGCTTTCTTGTGAGTGAATAAACGGTGTGGTGTAATATGAACGTATTGTGAGTAAAGTAATTTGGTCGGTCGGTCTGTTATAACGCAGGCTACAGGCCTATATACCCGAAGTGAGATTTAATTTTCCTCAAGATGAATTTAGATTTGTTATACCACCACGATTTTCCATTTATATTATATAATATTCATTCGACGGAATGAATGACGTAGCAAGTATCAATTTATAAAACATTTTTTTATACATTACTAGCTGTACCCGCGACTTTATCTGCGTAAAATACTAAGTTTCAGGCATCTTTGAAAATGATGATGCTACCCTATAATCTTTCATCTCCTCTTTCAACCCCTTTACAACCCTTTTACACATTAGAAAACAATCTATGTCCTTTCTCTGGGTTTATACTATCTGTGTACCAAATTTAATTTAAATCGATTCAATAGTTTTGGTGTGTAAGCGAGACAGATGGGCAGGGTTAATTCCGCATTCATAATATTAGTAAGGATAACTAAATAAATGAATAATCTTGGACAATTAATACAGCGCCATCTAGTCCCACGCTAAAAAAAGGTTGTATTATGGGTGCTAGATAACTGATATAAATACTTACGTATATATTTTTTGTAAATACATATATAATATACATAGATACCCAGACTAATATAAACAATCATACTCATGAATTTGTACCATGCGGGGAATCGAATCCGCGACCATCGGAAGTAAAGCGGTTAGCTAAACTGCCAAACCGCCGAGGCCGCAAAACTAGCTGTTAACCGCGACTTCGTCTGCGAGGAAAAATATTAAAAAGGCATGGACGCTTCCATAGGGTATTTTTTAAGTTCCAGGATTGTAGTGCGACAATTCGCAGGCGTGTACGCGTCGTTAAAATTTAATAATGTCTCAAGTGCAGGTCAATTTTGGAGGCGAACTTCATTAGCCGTCGAGGACGGTGTAAAGAAAGAATTTAATTAAGAACAATAGGCGCCACGCGATAAATTCCTATAAAAACTGGTCAAGTCAGAGTCGCAGCTACGTTACACAGTTCAATAGCCAAAGTGTTTTTTTAATAGTTGATAATGGAATGGTGTACCCGCCTGCGCCAGTGGAGGATGATCAGACGAACATGAGATCAGATCATATAGCCCTTCGTGACAAAGTCACTAGGAATTTATCGCTATGGTTTCCAGGGGAAACCTACACCTGACATGGTACATGGCTAGCAATCGGGTCATCAGTCTACATTCCCCCCAATCAAAACTGAGGAGGAATTGCGTGGAGATCAACCTGATATTGCTAGCAATGGATAATATCGATCCGTGCACTCAAACTTTCGTTTATATATTAGTAATATCTATTCATGCATACATTACCTATTATTATATCTTTTAAATCTATAGGAAAGTTATTATATAATTGTACTAGCTACTTGTCCCGCCTTCGCCCGAATGTACATGTATTATACATATAAACCTTCCTTTTGAATCACTCTATCTATTAATTATAAATTATTATATATAATAAAATTCAATACAATGTAAATTGTTATGAAAAAGGAAATGTGTGAATAATATAATATTTTTATTGGTGTTAGTTAAAAAGTCACAAACATAATAATTACGAAATAATTAATTTACTTCGCAGAAAAAAGTGAGTAATGTATTAAATCAGTCCACATTGCTAACAATCCTTTTTCCCTCAGTCAAATTAGCGAATCCTCCAAATAGTACTGCAAAGGCAATTTGCTCACTGGTGAAGAGATATAGTTATTACGTTTAGAGTACAATGGGACTGGCGTGTACTTTTAGTTCGTACCAAAAACCCTATAATTTAAAACAACAAAAAAATGGAAGTTCCTTACTTTGTCTACCTATATGTAAATCACGAACATAGTAGGAGAAAAAACTTACTAGCTTGCTATATGTTGGTGGGTAAATATAAATTATTTATTATCTCGACAGTCTTACTTTATTCATTTCTGTGTTCGTTTCTATTTTCAAGGCGTTTTTGTCATTTGGGATTGGTAGTGATGAGACTGAATTGTTCTGGAATTTTCCTAAGATACATAGAGATCTTGTACTTCTTAAGTACTTGGATGGATTTTTTAATTTCAACTCAAAACTATTAAAATTCCAGAGGTGATCAGCCGGATGCGTCAGTCGAAACCATAACTTCTATGTCTTTATGACATTTCCATCTAAATTAGCCAAAAGGGTTAATTTTTGAACAATATTTTGAATTTGTTGAAAGGTAGAGCCGAAATATCTTTCGGTGTCTCATTGTAGAATTTAATACTCATTCCCATAAAAGACCTATTAACTTTATCTAAATGGTACTTGGGAACTGCAAGTTAACGGCTATATTTGTATCAGCAAGTTTATTTTGGATGATAACGAAATAATGATCCTATCTGCTCTAATGACCACGTTGGGGTACTAGTGGCAGATGAAAGGATGTGGACATAAGATGAATCGTTATTAATATTATAAATGCGAAAGTAACTCTGTCTGTCTCACACACTAAAGCTACTAAACCGATTTAAATGAAATTTGGTACACAGATAGTCTACACCATGAGAAAAGACATAGGATACTTCTTAAAAGGTTACATGGAAGTATCATCATTTGTAAAACTTGTTATTTGTAGGTTGTTGATTAAATATAAATAAATATGACATTCATAATGTTTGTAAAGGAGTAAAGTTTGTAAGGGGTAAAATAAAATAGGGGCTAACAGTTTGCATGGAAATTCGTCATTTTAGAATCATGAAAGATGAAACTTTTTTTCTTGGATTTTTTGGGTTAGATTATTAAATATTTTTCTCTTTACTCGGTCAAGGTTTC